GTTTTTCGCTGTGAGAGAGAGAGAGAGAGAGAGAGAGAGAGAGAGAGAGAGAGAGAGAGAGAGAGAGAGAGAGAGAGAGAAAGCTACAGAATTCAGAAGAGTGTTAGGTTCCATGGAATATCTATGAGTTCGAACAGCCTGTCACTGTTCGAGACAGTGACAAAGTGAGTTCCAGGACAGCCAAGTCTACACAGAGAAACCCTGTCTCAAAACAACAACAACAAACAAACAAACCCCATCTCCATTCCCAATATTCCTCATTCCTCTCCCTCTCTCTGCCTCCTACTTTCAGATCACAGTGTAAGCTCTCAGCTGTTCCGGCCACCATGCCTTAGCTCTGCCAACATGGACTAATTAACCCTCTGAAACCATAAGCCCAAATAAACACTTCTTTTATAAGCTGCTTTGGTCATGGTGTCTTATCATAGCAATAGAAAAGTAGCTAAGACAGCTGGGCTTAAACTCAGGTCCTCTTGCTTGTACATCAAAAGCAACTCTTTTAGCCCTCTTTCACAACTCTCTCTTTCTTTCTTTCTTTCTTTCTTTCTTTCTTTCTTTCTTTCTTTCTTTCTTTCTTTCTTTCATTTCTCTCCTATTTCTAAGTCCACAGCCTTGTCATGCAGGAGTGACTGCATGAAGTTTTCTCTGGCCCTTGCATCATCCCACTGACTGGTTTATGGTCTGACTTTAGAACAGAGCATTGGATTCAGGAATAGACAGCTTGGGTGTTCATTCACCAGAAGTCTGGGGGACCATCTGTCTGTTCACCTAGAACTGCACCATCCACCTGCCCTCTTGGAGGATGGCTCAAGTGTTAGGTGCCTCCATCCCTTCTTGTGTACACTGCTGCTGTGCCCAGATGCCCACTCATGTTGCTGGGAGAACTCTCCAGGGCTCCTGTCCGAGCTCCACTACATGAGTAGGTGAGAGACACTTCAGTTTCCCCCTGGCTCCTCTGCACAGGAGCCAGACAGTCCAACTAGCTCATCTCTGCTCAGACTCCCACCCAACCAGCCTGGCCTTACCATCCATCCTCTTTCTTTCTCACCCACTGCCAGCTCAGGCCAGTCTGGACAGCCAATCAGCTAGCTCACTGGTGGGTATTCCAGTTCTCAGAGGCCTCCAGCCTACCCAGACAAATCCTCAGAGCCAGACCTTCTCCAAGCCATCCTCCTGCTTGACTGCCCCCTGGTGCCAGCATTTGCTGTGTCACCCTGTGTATTAACTGTCCTGCGTGGGCAGCATCTGCTCCCTTTCCTGTAATGAACTTAGGATGAGGAGTGAAGGGGCTCTTCTGTCCACAGTGGATGCTCAGTACCCAAGGTAGAGCCCAGCTTACAAAGAAACACTGAACAAGTGGATATAGTGGGCCCCACCATTGCCTGACCTCTGCTGTTTTCCACTCTAGATGTGTCCCACTCCTCGTCCTCCCCTGCTTTGACCTATGGCCAGCTCCGAGTCAGTGCTCTAAGGCACATGGACAGCAGCAGTCACGGATGAGTCCTGATGCACAGAATGGAGGTGGTAGGGGCACCATCCTAGGTAGTACGGGGATCTAGAGATATGTGACATGTTTACTTGCCTGGGATGCTGCAGAGCTCAGAAATGGATGGAGGGGTCTACCGTTTTGCTGACATCTCCTAGGTAACTGCTGTCTAACCGCACTTATATCGTTTTGATTTCCCGTGGTGCTAAGGGTAGACAGAATACAGCGCCATGCCTGCTGAGCGCACTCCTTTTCTTCTTTTTTAGGGTCATTGAGACAGGGGCAGGCTGGGCTCGAACTTTCTGTGTAACTGGAGATGACCTCCTGATGACCTCTCAATATGCCTAGCCCCCCACCCCTTACTCCTATTTTTTCTTTTTCTTTTACTTTTTTTAGTCAAGATCTCACTATGTAGACCAGACTGGCTTCGAACTCAGAGATTCCAGTGCTGAGATTAAAGGAGTGTGTCATGCACTCAGTTCCCCTTACTCCACATTTAGAAGCAATCTTCCTGTGACTTGGAAGGCCTGCAGGCCCCACCCTGCCTGGTTTCTCACCGAGTGCTGGTACTGCAGGAACAGAAGTTTCCGGGTCATCACAAACTGCACTTTCTTGTTCTTCACCACCAGGCTCCCCAGCAGCCGGGACAAGACTTCAGGCCTGTGGGGCAGATGTGGAAAGTGGCTTCAAAGGGAAGGATAAGGAAAAGCAAACAGTATGGTGTCCTGTGTCCAGCCACCTGCTCACTCCAGAGTTTGGCTGAGCCCTTCCATGACCTGAGTTGGTCCTTAATCTTTCCTCTTCCCAGAATGAATGCGAACACCCACGGAAAGCCTAGACCCCAGATCAGAGCCAACAGGACCAACCCAAAATGGGGGTCCTTCCCTGCTCTGCCAAGGCCAGGGATGAATGCTTCTCTAGGGCAGGGTAGCACACCTTTGCTGCTAAGGGCCAGAAGTATACTCTTAGACAGGTTTACTCTCCAAAGCAGTCAACTCTGGGAGTGGCTGAAAAGAGCCTTAGACAAATGTGTCAATGAATGGGCATAGCAATCTACCTAATAAAACTTTATTTACAAAAACCCACCAGCCTGACTTGGCCCATAACAACAATTTGCAGAACCCCAAGCCGGACTACTTCCTTCAGAAAGGAAGATTGTGGCCATCTGCCTCAGCCACACAGACAGAACAGCAGGGTTCCTCCTCGCTCATTACTTCTTTTTATTACATGTATTTGTGTGTATGAGTGCATGTGTGTGCATCCATGTGTGTGTATGTCTCAGTATGTGTATATCTGTGTGTGTGTCTGTCTGTGTATGTATATGTCTATGTTTGTCTGTGTCTGTATGTGCATCTGTGTGTGTCTCTGTGCATGTACATCTGTGTGTGTGTGTCTATGTCTGTGTGCATGTGCATGTCTTATCATGCATACCATGGAAGGAAACAACTTGGAAGAACTGGTTCTCTCCTTCCACCATGTGGGACTTGGGGATGAAACTCAGCCTTGATAGCAAGTGACTGTACCTGCTGAGCCAGCTCACCAGCCCCGGTTGTTATATCAAATCCCACACAAAGGCCTGCATGGTAGCACACACTTTCAATCCCAGAACTTGTTAGGCAGAGGTAGGCAGATCTCTGACTTTGAGGCCAACCTGGTCTACATAGCAAGTTCAGGCCAGCCAGGAATACATAGTGAGATTCTGATTTAAAGAAAGGAAAACAATTCCACATAAAGTCATAAAGGCCATGGCTGTGAATATGGTTCCATAGGTGAAGTGCCTGCTAGACAGCATGAGGCCCTGAGTTAATCCCCAGAACCACTAGAAAAAGCCAGGCATGGTGGCACATATCTATATACACAGAACCAGAAAGGGTCCCTGGGACTCAGTGAGTCCAGGTTCAGTGAGAAAAATCTGTGTCAAAAATGAGATACACAGCTCTTGAGGACCGACACCTGAGGTTGACCCCTGGTTTTCATATGGTTGTGCACACATATCTGCACATGCACTAGCATGCACACACATGAAAATTTTAAATTTTTAAAAAAATTCAAAGAGACAAAAGCTTGGAAAGAAGGAGGGGACCCCTAAAAATTTGAGAAACCAAACCTATGTAAACTGACATATGGCTTTAGCACAGGAAATAGGTACACAGAAGACAATCCAACGGACAAACAAGATTCAGAACCTAAAGTGGAGCTGACATTCATAGTGCATGCCCGTAATTCCAACACCTGGGTGGTGAGACAGAGAGGTCAAGAGTTCGAGTCCATCTTCAACCACACATCATGTGTGAGGTCAACTCGAAACAAAACAAACAAGGAAACTAGGTGGTGCTCTGCTGACGGCCCCGTGGGCCTCGCAGGACAGAGCCTAGAGTTTATGGGGAAGCTATTACAAGCACACCAGGACCCCACCATGAACAAGCAAGGGACATCGGTGAACACCTACAACCAAAGAACGCACGCAAAGCCAGCGTTGAGTGCTGCTCTGTGCAGAGAGGGATGCTGGGAGCCAGGTGAACTAGCACTGCGCTCAGAGCATTCAGCCAGCCCAGCAGGCCTGCTCCCCCCAACAACCCAGAGTCACTCCACATACACAAAGACAAGTAGACGCTAACACAGCTCAGTGAACATCACAGGGGTCAGAGTACCCACAACAAAGAATGAGCAATGGGAGCCCAGTGAAGGAAGGACAGCAGGCACAAGATGGGGACTGGGCTCACAACCAATGGCCAGTCTGAAAATGCAATGCTGAGACAGGATGGACCACCCAAACTGTATAGGACATGGACTCTAGTATTGCACCCAAGAGAGCAGCACAGGGAATGGCAGCAATGATGGTGTCTACCCTGACATCCTGAGAAACACTGGCTTGGAGAGGACCTGGCTGCTTACCTGGGAGCGGCCTCTACAAGCCCTGTCAGTACAGCCTCCACTGCCCGGTCAGGTACTTGTTCCACCAGCCGCCAGCACACCCGCTGCCACAGACAGCTCTCCTGGGTGAGCATTGTCAGTTGGGGCACCAGTATGCCCAGAATCTCTTCTGCGGGGACACAGAGGCCCTAAGCTTCAGGAGTCACCCTCAGCCAGGGGGCAACAGGGGTGCCCAATGTCCACAGCCCCATAAGCTCACAGGCATGGGCAACACCCAAGTGAGGGAACCCCAATGAGGGCAAGGGTCAACTTACATGTCACTGTATGGGGACATACAATGTACATCTTGTACATGATTCTCACCCTCCACCAAGGGTGAGCAGGGTATCGGGGACCACTCACTTTTTCTCCCTTGGATGCAGGCCTTCCCCAAGACTCGAGACACAAAGGAGACAGAGCAGTCTAGGCCACCTGGAATGCAAAGCAAGATCTGACGGTAAAAGAGGTCAGTGGGATAAACATTAAGGACATCTGACTAAGGATACAGACCTTGTGCTTAGCAGCCAGGTCAGCCATGGAAACTCCAGCTATTTGGGATGAATGTGCATATCTAACATGGGAGAAAACCTAAATGGAGCTGTCTTTAGCTTGAAAACCTAGTAATAATATGCTTTAAAAGTATCACACACATCATCTCAACCAGCAAAAGGACTCTGCCTACATCACTGAAGAGGCACCAGGGGGGTCCTGGACTAGGAGCCAACTACAGAAGCAGAACAGGGTTCTGGGGAGGCTAAAGACACCTCAGCGGCCACTGCCCACAAGGTCTCCCTCCTTGGCGAAGAAGGAGCCATGAGAAGGTCAAGAACAAGGAGGAGATGGGGTGGCAGCCTCCCACTAGTAGAGCTGAGATGATGGCACCTTTCAGAAAACAGACATGGACCCAGACACACCGTGACCTAAGGACAAACACTTAAGAGCCTGCAAGGACGGAATCCAAATCAAACCAAGATGAAACAAAACAGACCAGAAATTGGTTGCTGGAAAAATCTAGGGACGACAGAGGCTTGGGCCAGGTAGAAACCATGCCAAAGCTCTAGCGGCCCAGCTTCCTCTGGAGCCACATAGGTAAGGAACACAGGAGCCGTCAGGGTGCTGGGTTGAGCCCATGGAAGCAAACCAAAGTGGAAACTCAGCTAGGAGCAGGCTGAAAGACTGCAGTCAGAGTAGCTGCAGTTAAGCTGAGGTATGGCTCAGACTGGAGTGTGCACCATGGTGAGCAGAAAAAGGAAGAGGCCAAGGTTCAAGTCAGTCAATCATGGCCTGTATCTAACATCCACTAACCAGGAATCACAATGGCTCTTCCCCAATACTCTCTCGAGGTATATACCCAGGAAAGCCAGTTGCAATGTCCCAGAGAAGGCGGAGCTAACTATGGACACCCACAGGGTGGTCCCTAGAGATCTGTGAGTGATGGGCAGTCCCCATAGTGTCACATAAACATGTAAAAGCATATGCCCTCAGATCCAAGAGCAGTCACTACACAGTGGGCACTCAAAGCCACCACCACCAAAGACACAGACATCAGACTCAAGTAAGCAAGAAAGTGGACCTCAGCAAAGAAGGAAGGGCAGCTTCTAGGACATACAAGTGACTGGGTCGGAAAAGCAGGTCTCAATCCAACTAAGAACTAAAGGAATCCAGGGTCAGACCCAACTCTCCAAAATCAAAAGCCAAAAGAGAGATGGAACTCCATCAGGTGGTGAACCTATCTGAACCAGGACGGCATCTAAGCTACCTGACAGCCCCACCCCAACTCTTAAGGCCCCACAGGCTTTCAGAGTCTTACTTCAAGGGGAGGGAGAAAATAAAGGCCTGGAGAGATGCTGGGGCAGGGTGCTCACCTTGGAGAAAGCTCACAACTGCCTTTAGTGCTTGCAGAACCTCCTGGCCAAGCAGAGGGAAGTAGTTCTGGGGGAAGAACGGGGTCAGGTTGTCCTGCTGGAGACGGTTGCCCAGGTGGTCAGGCAAGCCCACCACCTTGCTGAGCAGCGTCTCCTGGACTAGGAAGAAGCTGGGCTTTGTCTGCGGGCGACACTGCTCCTCCATGAGAGCCGCCAGTCTGCCCTTGCTCAGAAACATCTCCAGCAGCCGAGCCATCTTCATCAGACGGAAGCTAGGGCTAAAGAGAAGCGAGAGCCCGGTCTCCTCTATCCTAGTGTCCCCATAGAGTCAGGGAGATGGCCCAAAGCCTGAGAACCTAAGTTTGATCCCCAAAACCCACATAAAAAAAGCCAGCTGAGGCCAGGACAGAGGCACATGCCTTTAATGCCGGCATACAAGAGGAAGCAGGAGAATCTCTGTGAGTTAAGAGCCAACCTGGTCTACATAGTGAGTTCAAGGGACAGTCAGAACTACAAAGTGAGACCCTGTCTCAACTCCTCCGATGCCCCCCACCAAAGAAGAAAAATAGGTGAGGTGACAAGTGCTTGGAGTCCCAGCTCCGGGGACACAGAGACAAGTGGACACACAGACAGCCTAGTCTAATTGGCAAACTCCTGGTAGGTGAGACCTCCATCTCAAGAAACAAGAGGCTGGGTGTGGTCATGCCTTTCATTCCTGAACTCTGGAGGCAGAGGGAGGAGAATCTCTGAGAGTTCAAGTCTGGCCTAAAAGTTCCAGGACAGCTAGAGTTGCATAATAGAGAGACCTTATCTCAAAAAGACCAAAAAAACAAAACAAAAAATTAGTCCCAACAACTTCATAAGCATTTACATTTGAACTCATCAGCTGAAGAAAATACTTAATTCCACTGCTAAATAGCCAGTTACTAGTAGGCTGTCCCCCTGGGCCCTGGACAGACACCACCGTTTCTTCCTCCACTTGGCACTGTGCTTGCTTGGATCACAGAAGTGGTTGCTTTGAGACTTTATTTCGTGAGTAGGTGTTTTTTCCTTCAGGTATGTCTGTGTACTACATGTGTGCATTGCCTGTGGGGGAGAGGGCTTCAGATCCCCTGGAACTGAGTTACAGATGGTTGTGAGCAGCCTTTGTGGGTGCTGATAACTCAGCCCAAGTTCTCTGGAAAAGCAACCAGCATTCTTAACCTCAGAGCCACCTCTCCAGTCCGCACCACAGCAGATTCTAAAAACCCAGCTTCTCAAAGCCACTGCATCCTCCCAGGGATCCACTAGACTGGATGTAGAGCCCAGGACTAGGGGTCCATGGCAGCAACATGGAAGCTAGCCATTTAAAAACCTGAAATTGTTGGCTGGTGGTGGCACACGTTTTTAATCCCAGCACTTGGGAGGCAGAGACAGGTGGATCTCTGTGAGTTTAAGGCCAGCTGGGTCTACAGAGCAAGTTCCAGGAAGGACAGTCAGGGCTACACAGAGAAACCCTGTCTCGAAAAACTAGAAAAAAATAAATAAAAACCCAAAATGTCCTGTGATGGTCCTGAGAGTCCTATAAAATAAAGGGTAGGGCCAGGCCGTGGTGGCGCACGCCTTTAATCCCAGCACTCGGGAGGCAGAGGCAGGTGGATCTCTGCGAGTTCGAGACCAGCCTGGTCTACAAGAGCTAGTTTCCAGGGCAGGCTCCAAAGATGCAGAGAAACACTGTCTCGGAAAAACTAGATAGACAGACAGACAGACAGACAGACAGACAAAAATTAAAAAAGGGTAGGTCCAGAAGAGGGCAGCGAGTGACCAGCTCCCTTTCTGGTGTCAGCTGGGGGTGATGGAGACCCTCTGAGTCGCTGATTTGCTCCTGCTATCTGCAATGTGGACCCTGCTCTTCCTCCCAGCCTCCAGCAAGAGGGACTGAGGCCAGGCTAAGACGCAGGGGTCCTTCCCCTTTCAGAGCTGAGCACAGCTACACTCAGTTCTAAAGCATTAGGTCCCTTCTCAGAACTTGGGTGCCCTGTTGCTCACAAGCTGCTCACCCAGCAGTGCTCTCGATGGCCTCCATCAGCACCAGGAAGGCTTGGTCTGGGGGGCCGTCCAGGAAGAAGCTCTCCCAAAGCCGCTCTAGCTGGCCGTCGGGGGATAGCTCTAGCCAACCTGGACTCAGCTTGCTGACCAGACATCTGAGAACCGCTGAGAAGTGGATGGTGGTAAACTCCTCCTTCTCAGGGAAAGCTGGATCCTCGGTTCCACCCAGGTACCGCTTCAGGGTCCCCAGGGTGGAGAGGATGTGGCCCACATCCTCTGAGGATGAAAGGGTGTGAATGGCTTCTTGTACGGTGAATCGGACAGCAGACAGTGCTGGGTCCATCTTGCAAGGCAGGGCTGAGGGACCCAGAAAAGCAGGGTGAGAATCTCAGGATTTCTCCCCGTAGCACCCACGAAGGACTCGGCTAAGGATAGAGGAGGCTTGGCTCCAAATCCAAGAAATGCCACCAGCCCTCTTTTGCGCTCCCAGGCGCCTCATGCGGTCCCTGCCTTCGGGTTCCCCGCTTTCCGGGTGGTCTGACAAGGCTTGTGCCCGTTAGGAACAGCACCCGTACCCCGGGGGCTGTCTCCTCTGTCAAGCTCGCTGGTACTTGGGTGAATGAGTGGCTCACCAGGCAGCAGCAGCTACAACCCCGGAGTCTGCAGCTCCAGGTGATCACCCAGCCTTCTAAACACGAGGCCCTGGGCTAGCACGGAAGCCGGCCATCCCGCAGGGCCGTCACCAATGCAGACCCAACCGGACCAACCACTCCCACAGGGTTGCTCCGGCCCCCAGGCTTCAGAGCCACGACCGCGTGCTCCCGCGCGCCGCTGATTCGCCACGGCACCGGGACCACGCGTCCCGTTCAGTGCCAGCCGAGGGCAGCCGTGAGTTCGAGTCCCAGAACTCGCGTGGAACTAGCAAGGATATTAGTTTCTGGATCTGATGCCTATGAGGAGCTCGGGAAGAATCCGCGCAGCGCCGGCGCATTGGTGACCGCAGCACCTGCGCCTGCGCAAGAGGAGGAGGCGTGGCCTAAGAACCTGGGGCGGCCAAGGCCTGAGGGCTGGACTGGGGTAGGCTTGCTCGCCTTCTTCCCTTCCCTGGCGCCTGCTGTCTGTTTTCTCTAATTCTAGAGCTGCCCTCCCAGCACCCTGTCCACCTGGGTCCAGTGACTTTCCACCGTAGAGCTGGCCTTCTGAGGACGACACTAACCCTCAGTTGGGGCTGTCAGGGAATCGAGAATAAGGAAGCCAAGAAGAGCAAAGCTAGACAAATTGCGATGCTGATGCATGTGGTGGGCGCACAAGGCTGCATTGTTTAATGCGAACCCACAAACCGCCAGGGGTCCTGGCTGCCGCCTGCCTGCCTGAACATTACAGTATCCATCACCGCAGAACTTCTCTTGATCACCGGATCCGCCTGGGGCAGTATCTCAGAGCTTAAAAGTACTTGCTGCTCTTGCAGAGGTCGCAGGTTCCGGTTCCCAACACCTATGGAAAGCTTTGCTAATCAGCTAGCCAAGATCTTTTTTTCTCTACACAGGAAAAAAAAAAAAAAAAAACTGTAGTCAAAGAGAAGTTTTTTTTTAAAAAAAAAAAAAAAAACTTTCTTTTTCTCATTTTACATACCAACCCCTCCCCTCCTCTGCTCCCTCCACCTCCCCCATCCCACCTCCTATCCCACACACACACACACCCCCCCCAGTGACTCCTCAGAGATGGTAAGTCTTCCCACGGGGAGTCAACAAAGCCTATCACATTACTTTAAGGAGGATCAAGGCCCTCCCCACTATATCTAGGCTGAGCAAGGTTATCCCTCCAAAGAGAATGGGCTCAAAATAGCCAATCCACACACTAGGGATAAATCATGGTCTCACTGCCCCCAGTCTGCCCAACCATTCAGCTGTCACCCACATTCAGAGAGCCTAGTTTAGTCGTATGTTGGTCCCCTCACTGTCAGGCCAGAGTTGGTGGGCTCCCTCTTGATGCCTCAGCTACTACTTCTGCAACTGTCACAGAGCTGGCTGTCCTGCCCCATTTGCAGCTTGGGCTGCCTACTGCCTCTCTGCTGCTTCTTTCTTCAGGATACCAGCTCAACCCACATGGCTGACAGAAGGCAAGCAAAGTCTCAGGAGAAGACTTTGCTGAACCTAAATCTACCACAGAAAGGGAGGCAGCGCAGGATCGTCTCTCCCAAGGTGAACCTGAGTAGCAGCTTTCAAAGCCTAAAAGGCGGGTGACTATATGTTTTCCTTTGGGTTCACCTTCTTATTTAGCTTCTCTAGGATCACAAATTATATGTTCAATGTCCTTTATTTATGGCTAGAAACCAATTATAAGTGAGTACATCCCATGTTCGTCTTTTTTGGGTCTGGGATACCTCACTCAGGATAGTGTTTTCTATTTCCATCCGTTTGCATGCAAAATTCGCGAAGTCATTGTTTTTTACCACTGAGTAGTATTCCAATATGTATATATTCCATACTTTCTTCATCCATTCTTCCATTGAAGGGCATCTAGGTTGTTTCCAGGTTCTGGCTATTACAAATAGTGCTGCTATGAACATAGTTGAACAAATGCTTTTGTCATATGATAGGGCATCTTTTGGGTATATTCCCAAGAGTGGTATTTCTGGTTCTTGGGGTAGTTTGATCCTGAATTTCCTGAGAAATTGCCACACTGATTTCCAAAGTGGTTGTACAAGTTTGCATTCCCACCAGCAATGGATGAGTGTTCCCCTTACTCCACAACCTCTCCAGCAAAGGCTATCATTGGTGTTTTTGATTTTAGCCATTCTGACAGGTGTAAGATGGTATCTCAAAGTTGTTTTAATTTTGCATTTCCCTGATCACCAAGGAGGATGAGCATGAAACCGGACTCCCTGAACTTGGCGGACAATGCAGGCTGATGAGAAGCCAAGGACAATGGCACTAGGTTTCGATCCTAATACATGAACTGGCTGTGTGGGATCCTAGCCTGTTTGGATGCTCACCTTCCTGGTCCTGGATAGAAGTGGGAAGACCTTGGACTTCCCGCAGGGCAGGGAACCTGGACTGCTCATCATTCTCCAGAGAGAGGGGGAATGAAGTGGGGGGGGGGAGGAGAGGAGTAGGGAGGTGGGAAGAGGGGGAGATTGTGGGAGGAGGGGGAGGGGAATGGAAACGGGGAGGAGGTGGTAATTTAAAAAAAAAAAAAGCCTAAAAGGGGCGCTTCCTCCTAACACAACCTGTGCACCAGGCTCAGCAGTTCCTCTGCTGGCCACCAGGGGACGGATTTCCCTTCTCAACTTGGTGAAATGGTTGCAGGTTCCCCCAGAATTACTTCAGCCTTGTGGTAAAAAGCCTGGTTCAAACTTTCAAAAAGCCCCAAGACTGTACCTTCCCAAACTGAAGTAATCAGAAGCAACCTTGTGGTTTTCTCAAGGCCCTAACAGAGCTTCCTGGATAGTCAATGCTCACATAAGGGCGGTGCAGTGGGCTGGTGACTGACAATCCTTCTGCTCAAAGCATTGAGGACAACAAAGTAAATTTCAACAGCTGCTAACTAAGGGGTCATATTGCCTCAGCACCCCGATATCTTTGCTTACTTACAGAAAATGAGTACCAGAGTGCTTATGATAAGAAATGTGGCCCAGTGGTGGAGGCGCACACCTTTAATCCCAGCACGCAGGAGACAGCAGACAGATTCTATGAGTTCCAGGCAGCCTGTCGAGGATACACAGAGAAACCATGTCTCAATAAATAAATAAATAAATAAATAAATAAATAAATAAATAAATAAGAGAAACTGGGTCCTGGAAGTTGTAAGTTGTCCTCTGACCTTCACAAGTGCTCCATAGCACTTACACACACACACACACACAAATAAATGTAAAGAAAACAAATTTTAAAAGGGCTAGTCCTGGGAGCTGGGGAGATGGTTTACTAGGCAAAGTACTTAATGTACAAACATGAGGCTCTGAGTTCAAATCCCCGGCTTCCACATAAAAGCCAAGTGAAGAGGTGTGCATCTGTATTCCAAGATTCCTCCCTGGAGGAGATGCAGACCACACCTACCCCCTCCTTCTACAGTCCCGTCAATAAACTGAGGTGCAGTTCCACCAGAGTCAGCTCCGGGGATTCAGTAAGTTTATTAGGCTTCCTTATAGAACAGTGGCTGAGGGGGTTACAGGCAAGAGCATGGATGCCCTTAAAGCAGCCATAGTGGAAGGTTGGCACTCATCACGGATGTTGACTCCTGTGTAGATGGAACCCCTCCCCTAATTCTTCCTGGCCTATATATTCTATCCTTTCTCTGAGACCCCGTGTGCACTGGCATAATTACATACAACTGGTTGCCCCTCCTCTGTGAGGTAGCACCAACGGTCGTTGAGCCCAGCCATGAAAGCAGCCCAGGTTGATGGTGACAGAGTGGTTTGGAGGGCAATCTCTGTAACTCCAGCATCAGGGCAGAGGTGTAGGGAACTCACTATCCAGCCAGTCTAACCAATCAGTAGGTCCACAGTTCAGTGAGAGACTCTGTTTCAAGAAGAATAGGATGGAGCACCATCGAGGAAGGCATGTGACTTAAATGTTTGGCCTCTACACATGCACATGTGAGTAAACACACATAATGAATACATAAATAAATCATAAAGGTCAGCACAAGCAGGGGTCAGCCCAGAGAACAGGGGGTAAGGAGCCACCACCAATACAGTCATTGGGACCCACGTGAGACAGTGTGGGGGTCAGAGAGGCTGGAGGCCAGTGTCTCCGGAGAGAGCCAGGGCTTGAGCGTGAGGTGTGATAACCCCAGTAAGAGACCATTCTGGGACTCCATCTCTAAACCACAACTTCCTTGTTCCTTTATCCACCCATTCTCCTGAAGCGTACCATCCAGCGGCTTCCCAGGAATGGCAGGGTGCAGCGATGTAGCTCCCAAGCCTCTGCATACCTGAAAATGTCTTTACTCTCTGCTCTGCTGTGTTTGCGTGAGCTAGCTGTACTAGCTCATCTTTTTCTGATTGTTTCAGTCATTTGGCCCGGCACAAATGTTAAGAGAGTCGGTGGTCCCAGGAAGGTGTCTCAGTCACCTCCACAGTTTCTCCCCCTGGGTGCTTCCTGAGTTTCTCCACCTGAGGTGTTCTGATGCATGACCGAAGGCGCCTTTGCGTTGGTGGCCCGTCCCCTGGTATGGCAGTCTGGTTCACGTCATCTCGGAAGTGCTGGGTGCTTTTGTGGGGACACCTTCCTGAGTTATTTTATTACTATAAACTAGGGTTCTTCAAACAGCAGAACATTATCTTCTCTCATCTCTGGAGCCTAAAAGTCTGAAACCCAGGTGGCATGCTACCTCAGAAGCTGCTGCTAAGGCTTGTGTCTTCCCTGGCTTCTAGGGCTCCAGGCGTGCAACAGCTTTGTTCTCAGCTCTGCCATCATCCTCATTGGCCCTTCTCCATGGTGTCTGCTCCTCTCTGTCTCTCTCAGGACACTTGTTGTTGAGTGCAGGGGTATATGGGTACCCAGGGTAACCCCTTCTTAAGATATGCCTAGATGTTTTTTCCCCATAAGGCTATCTTCACAGGTCCCAGGGTCAGACCTTGGGTTTTTCTCCTCAGGGGCATCACTAATCCCCCTGCAAAGCCTATAACCAAAAGCCAGTCAGGAAAAGTCAGGTATGTTTAGCTTGATTTCAACATCGCATATAATACATTTATTGAAATATCATATTAATTCAAAATGTGTGCAATTTGTGGTGTGTGTGTATGTGAGAGAGAGAGAGAGAGAGAGAGAGAGAGAGAGAGAGAGAGATCACATGCCTGTAGTCCTAACTGAGACTGTGGTGGATCACTTAACCCAGGAGTTAAGATCAGCAAGACCCTTTCCCTGGAAAGAAAAACAATAGCTAATTTTAAGGTATCCCATTCTAGCAGAAAAACATAAGTTCAAGAGAAACGCAGCACATTACCAAGAGGGATTTCTTTTCCAAGGGAATGAGAAGGGAACTCATGGGACACAGCTGTGTGAGGTTGGGA